AATGTAATGAAAACAAATAATCTTTTATAGTAAATTATTATCAAAATCAAAAGAAAAAGTAATAGTCAACAAAGGTGGGCTTAATATTTAATGTATAGGTAGTAGTTTTGTGCAACTGTTAACTAGCTCTTTTAAAATTCTTAAAATTGATATTTTCCTTTGTTATTACTATAGACACATTAAAATTCAGTACGTTGGAGGGATGATGCCAAAATAGAACAGAGGGGAGACCATGTTATCTTGTGACGATGATATTTTTTAGGGTACTTTCATGTATAAAGGTGACATAATTTATTATTAATAATAACACGCTAATATATATTATTCAGATAAAATATTTGCCTAAAATAAAGAGAGAATAGAACCTCTTATATCAACTAAGTTGGAATAAAATGAAAACAAAGAATCTCTTACAGTAAGAGAAGACAAAAAGGAAGAAAAGTACTAGAAGGTGGGCTAAACCCCACGGCGTTGGCCGGCAATAAAAAATGTTTACTCTTTTTATTAATTTTTTGGATTCAAATCATCTTAGGTCACATTAAAATTCAATACATTGGAGGGATGATGCCAAAATAGAACAGAGGGGAGACCGTGTCATCTTGTGAGGATGATATATGGATATTTTAGGGTACTTTCGTATATAGAGGTGACATAATTTATTATTAATAATAATACGCTAATATATATTATTCAGATAAAATATTTGCCTAAAATTAGGAGAGGACCGACGAAAGCACCTCTCACATAGACAAAAATGAAGAAAAGTACTAGTCATTAACAAAGGTGGGCTAAACCCCATGGCGTTGGCCGGCAATAAAAAATGTTTACTCTTTTTATTAATTTTTTGGATTCAAATTATCTTAGGTCACCTATCACATTTGTGACTTATCTTGAAACATTGGACTAATGAGATGTTCAATGAGTCTTGAGGATTAGTTAAGGTATACGTAAGCTTGGTCCGAACAACCCCGATCATCAAGAAAAAAAAAATAAATAAATAAAATAAAGGTAGGTTCGCAGTAAAAAAAGTTTACTCCTTTTATTGATTTTTTTGATTCAAATCATCTTAGGTCACCTATCCATTTGTGACTTAGCTTGAAACATTGAACTAATGAGATGTTCAATGAGTCTTGAGGATTAGTTAAAGTATACGTAAACTTGGTCCGAATAGCCCCGATCATCAAGAAAAAAAATAAATAAATATATAAAATAAAGGTAGGCTCACTGGGTAGATAATTTCTTTAATTAACAGTTGATCACGTCAAGTGTCCCTTAGATTATAATTAATTTGTTAAGAAATAAACTAATTGGCAAGTTGATCCATAATTATGTGGTTTGGTTGGGGAAAGTGAGGCTTAAACCACTTTTTTTTTCCAAACTTTGGCATTTAATCACCTAGCACTAATAAAACACCATATCTTATTTTACTTACCTACTCCCTACCTTTCACATGGATTTTTCACTATAAATGAATAAAAAACATTGAACGATACCACATGGATTTTTCACTATAAATGAATAAAAAACATTGAACGATACCGTCTTTCTCACAAAATTATTAGAAAATAGGTATTCATGGGATTCTAACATCTGTAAACCTGTTAAACTTGAAATTTAAGTATGTCGATAATGTTTTCTCACTTTAAATTGTAGCATTGAAATCCTAATTTATATTGGTGAAGCAACTCTTAAGCTCTGATTGTCTAATCAATACATAAATTGAAATTGAAATGACTATGAATTGAAATTGCTTTACTCCAAATGGTGAAAGCTTCATCGAACTTGTCCCTTTGTTGAACTGATTATGAATATTATTGAAATCGCTCATATCAATTAAGTTGGAATGTAATGAAAACAAAGAATTTTTTATAGTAAATTATTATCAAAATCAAAAGAAAAAGTATTAGTCAACAAAGGCAGGCTTAGTATTTAATTTCCTTAATATATATAAAAAAAATTTACAAATTGACAAGTTGACGGATACAATGCGGTTTGGTTTGGAACTTTGGCATTTATTATACGTGGATTAATATAACAATTGTAAGAAAATAAATAAACAAAACCATGGCAATAGCCATTCAAAGCTCAGCTACATGCAACGGCAAGTTTTATTTATTTATTTAATTTATTAATCAATTTTAAGACTCAATATGAATATATAGATCGACATTGTTGTCCAGTTAACTTTAGAGCGTTGATCAAATTAACTCGTCTTAATTGTTGATTGAGGCTGAAATATAACAGTCATATAAATTAATCGATTGATTTCAATTGACTTAGATTCATATTTAAAATTAACATGGCCTCTTATTATATGCTTAATATTTTGTTAATTTATAGTAAAATCTAGGATGGATGGGATCCTCATTACAACATCATATTTAGAACATAGAGTTGATAATGATCCAATTCAATGGAATTACCTTACCTTTACCTTAAGGGAAGTGTATTTTTCGCCCTCATCAAATTGACCACTTTTCACAAACTTAATTAGGGTTTTTGATTTCACCAATTTTCCACAATTTCTTAAATAGGTTTTTTGTTTATACCTCTTTTTTTCCAATTTCAAATTTGAAACTTACTTCTTCAGACTCAGATTCAAATTCATCCTATTGTGTGATTATTTTTTCATTAATATTAGTAACATATTTTCATCAAACAAAGAATATTTGAAATAAAAAAATATATATTTCAATGACTTAGAAAAATTAGATTTAGGGTTTATGTAAGAATTAAAGTTTAAAAATTAAAACAAAAATATAAAAAAGAGAATAACCTAAGTTCTAAAAAGAAATGAAATAATCAATCAATCAACCTCTAGATCAAGTGGCTTGGTAAACAATCAATTATATATAAGCAAAGAAAATAAAGAAAACAGATAGAAGTAAATGAGGCACAACGATTTGCATGGTTCACCATTTGGGTTACGTTCACGGTAATGGTATAACACAAAATTTTCACTATTAATCGAAGGACTAGAATGATACAATCTTTCTCACAAAGTTAATAGAAAATAAATATTTGTGGGGTTTTGAAGTCGATATGTAAAGGTAATAGATAAAGTTCCATCATAAGACATGTTTTTTAAGTTAGTCATTCCCATCCAAAAACAATCTTCAAAGTGATCTGAAACAACAAAAGTTTTAGACAATCTGACTTGTTTTTACTGTAGCTGCAATTCTGAGAATAAGTAGTAGAAGTTGGAGAGAAATTCGGTTATTTGAGAGATAAAATGTAATAGAAAAAGTGATGCTAATATATATAACTCATTCTATTTCCAGCATTGTCCAAAGATGATGAACAAGGGATGATTAATTTGCTTAGTGACACGAAGAAATAGAGTTGGATGAACTTTGAAAATGAATGCCACACTTCACAGCTCAAATCACCGTTAGTGTGAATGAGACTTTTTGACAACTTTATGGAAGTTTAACAAGCAACAAAACAAAACAAAACAAAACAAAAAAAAAAAAAAAAAGAATTTATAAATCGTGCGTGTTCCTTTCTCTTTACAGATTTGTTATTTGTGCATGATTGTTCGTTATATATATATATATATATTTTGGTGAAGCAACACTCAAACTCAGTTGAAAAAGTACTAATCGACAAAGGTGCGCTTAGTATTTAATAGAGTTGTCCAAGTGTTTGTGTCCCTCGTTAAAATAATAATTTTGTTTTGATATTATATGACTAGTAAAAAAGGCTGAAGCATAAGATAAGAGTACCTCCAGGGGTGTTTTTTAAAATCAAAAATATTTTAATTGATTTTTAAATATAAAGAATAAATTTTTTATTCAAAACCAATAGATTCTTTAAGTTTTAAGAGAAAATGTTTTTTTAAGAAAGAAACTAAATAGGAGAGATACATTATAAATAAAATACATAAAAACTTGTAATTTATTATTTAAAATTAAGATAGAGAGTGAAATAATTCACTCTTTAATTTATATTTAAAGAATAAAAAATTTGTTGGACTCTTGTTTCTATGAATAAACTCTTTATAATAAAAAGTTTGAGTTATATAAAGAGTTTTTCATCACCAGTGAAGAAGGAAGTTAAAAAAACACTAAAATTATGACTTAGGATTGGTGGTTACATTTGGTTAACATTTCAACTCAATTTCGTCATCTTCTCTTTGCGAAAATTGAAATTTATTAAAGTTGGTTTAGAGTTTTCAGATGAGAGTTTTGAATTTGATTGCAACGTTCAACTATATTCTTTATTGCTACTTGCTAGCTGTGTGTGTTTCTCTTCTCATCTTAATAGTTGAGTACAACTAATTACTTTTATCCGTTTTTCTTTATTTTCTTTGTTTATATAATAGTTTGATTGTTTATGAAGCCGCTTGATTTAGGGGTTAATTAAGTGATTATTTCATTTCTTTTCAGACCTTAGGTTAGTGAATATATTGAGTCCTTAAACCTTATTTTTTGGTTATATCACTATTTTGATAATAATAATAATAATTAAGAATAATCCATGTTATGGGGATAAATCAACAAAGTTAAGCCTTGCTTTTAGCCTTTTTTTTCCTTAAATTTTTTTATAATGTAGAAAATTTATCAATTTTATTTTTAATATAGCATTAAAACAAGAGTGTGAACTTGGAAATGATTTTAACAAGGATTCTTTCATTTATAACATGTAAAAATACTTTTAATGGAAATAATTTTTTAGATGATGTAGACAACGTGACACCATGCGATCCATTTGATTTTCTCAAAGTTTGGTTCAATTTGGAGAAATTGACCATTTCTCATGTTTCAATCAGCTTACGAAACCCATGATATCACCCCTCTTGAATTTCAAAGTTTGGTGCAATCTGGAGTAATTGAATTTTTCACCGCCATTAATGTGTCATCACCGTTCCTCGTTTTCCACTCATGGGTCCTCACCACGTGTATAAAAGTTGAAGTAAATTGCAGCATTATCACAACATAAGCAAACCAAATATTTCGATTTCTGATCAATCTTTGTTTAATCACTTACCATCATTCAATATGGCTGAAGCTCTTGTTTCCATAGCCTTGGAACAGCTGGCTTCATTCATTCATCAACAGGCGACAGAAGGGATAAGCTTGCTTGTGGGTGCTAAGCAAGAAGTTGAGAAGCTTCAAAGCAATTTCCGGGCAATTCAAGCTGTGCTGGCTGATGCTGAGATCCGCCAAGTGAAGGAGAACGCTGTGAGAGATTGGTTAGACAAGCTCAAAGACGTGTCCTATGACATAGATGATGTCTTGGACGAGTTGAACACGAAGTTTCTGAAATTACAAATTAAAAGAGCTGAACATGCTTCTAAGCCTCTGAAAAAGGTATGTTCCGTCGTTCTCCATTATCTTGTTGGTAAGCCATTGCTTATGCGTTGTAAAATTGTTATCAATATAAAATATCTTGGTAGAAAACTTGATATTGTTGTTGAGGAGAGAGAGAGATTCCACTTTAGACCAATCGCCGAGGGTAGCAAAGAAGTAGAACGGCAAATCACCACCTCCGCTATTGATTTAGAAGAGGTTCGTGGAAGAGATAATGATAAGAATTCACTAGTCGATTTGCTCTTGAGTCAAAGTAGTCAACAACAAGTCCTCCCCATAATCTCGATAGTAGGGATGGGAGGAATCGGCAAGACAACGCTTGCTCGATTAGCTTTTAATGATGATAAGGTGAACACACATTTTGATAAAAAAATATGGGTGTGTGTTTCTGAGCCTTTCAATGAGCTTAGGGTTGCAAAAGCAATCCTTGAATCTCTCACAAGTAGTCCATCACAATTAGTTGAATTAGAAACTGTAATGCAAAAAATAGGCAGACAAATTGAAAGAAAAAAGTTTCTTCTTGTCTTAGATGATGTATGGACTGAAAATTATGAAAATTGGGAAAATTTAAAACGCACTCTCAAATGTGGATCTCTAGAAAGTAGAATTTTGGTGACCACACGTAAGGAGATTGTTGCAAATGTCATTGGAACCACCAAAATAATCTCACTAGGGGTACTATCGGAGGATGAATGTTGGTCTTTGTTTAGTCAACTTGCAATTTTTGAAGCAACCAATAAAGAGTTTGAAGAAATCGGTAAAAAAATTGTTAAAAAGTGTAAAGGTTTGCCTCTTGCTGTAAAGACTTTAGGTAGTCTTTTGCACTTTAAAAGAAAATTTGAAGAGTGGGAAAATGTCTTAAATAGTGAAATATGGGAATTAGAAGTGGTAGAAGAAAGGATTTTTCCACCTCTTTTATTTAGCTACTATGATTTGTCCTCTATATTGAAGAAGTGTTTCTCATATTGTGCTATTTTTCCAAAGGACTATGTAATATGGAAGGATGAATTGATCAAGTTATGGATGGCTCAAGGTTATCTAAAGTCAAAGGCAAACAAAGATATGGAGTTAGTTGGTGAAGAATATTTTGAAAACTTAGCAATGCGTTCTTTGTTTCAAGATTTTAAAAGAAGTGAATATGATGGTAGTATTATAGGATGCAAGATGCATGATATAGTGCATGACTTAGTTCAATTTCTTTCAAAGAATGAATGTTTTGCAATAGAAGTTGAGAGTGGTGCAAGTCCTCAATCAGATATTTCTTATGAAAGGGTTCGACATTTATACGCAAGAAGTAGTAGTTCAATTCCTAGATCTATTCTTAATCCAAAAAAATTGCATAGCTTTGTAGTTGAGAGGGCATACTTTTATGAAACAGACTTATCTAGATATTTTGAGCAATTAACATGCCTGAGGACATTAAATCTATGTAATTGTTACGGTTTTTATAAAATTCCAAAAGGAATAAAATATTTAGTGCATTTGAGGTACCTTAAGTTGAATTGGAATGATGATATAGAAACATTGCCTGAGGTATTGTGTGATTTATATAATCTACAAACCTTGGATGTCACTGATTGTGGAAAACTTAGAAAGCTACCCCAAGGGATAGGAAAGTTAGTTAATTTGAGGCATCTATTAATTGGTGGGACAAGGTCATTAAGGTACATTCCAAAAGGAGTAGAGAGATTGAGTTGTCTAAAGACATTAAATAAATTCGTTATTAATGGTGATTATGATGATGGTAACAAAGCATGCACTAGTCTTGATTCTTTGAAGAACTTGAAACTGGGCCCATCTTTAGAGTTAGAGTTGGTAAATGTGAGGGATAGTAATGCACTTAAACTTGCAAATTTTCAGAGTACCAATAATCTCCTTCATTTGACTTTATCATTTCGTATTCAGTGTAAGGAGAGAAGAGGAAATGAGGAGAATGTAATGATTATTGAAGCATTACAACCACCTCCAAATTTAGAGAAATTACGGATAGAATACTTTGAAGGCAAATCCATGTCTTTTGATTGGATGGTATCATTAACCAAGTTGACGGAGTTAGAGCTTTATGGTTGCTGCGAGTGTGACCATTTACCTCCTTTGGGAAAACTACCATCTCTTGAATCACTAAACATAAGATTGATGGAAAGTATAAAAAGAGTGGGTAATGAATTTTTGGGAATAGAAAATGATACCACATCATCAATTGTTGCCTTTCCCAAATTGAAATTCCTCAATTTAGAAAGTCATAATGAATGGGAAGAGTGGAATTATGATATTACAAATAATAGAGACAAAGATATTACCATCATGCCCTGCCTTCATTCTTTGTCAATTAAATGGTGTGATAAATTAACGGCACTGCCAGAACAAATTCTTCAAACACCAACACTGCAGCAATTAGAGATTGTTCATTGCCCTGTTCTGGAAGAACTTTACAAGGAGACAGGAGATGATAGGAGCGAGATCTCTCACATTCCAAAAGTCTCTATCCGTTGATTGGAATCATGGAGTGAAGATGAAAGCTGTAACAAACATGGCTGTTCCATTCTCAGATAGCTGCAATTGCTATTCACCCATTGGTAAATCTCCCTCCACTTCCCCTTTTTGTAATTCAAAATCTTATTTTACAATAATATTTATTGCTCTGTTTCTAACTAAACTTCATTCTTCTCTTCTATGTTCAATCGTGAATGGTGTTCTTCGGTGTTCGAAGTTCAATCGTCATTCTTCGTTTTCAATAGTCTAATCTTCGCTTTGTTTGTTCGATCGTCTTCAGTATTCTTCGACGGAATTGTTGTGTTTTTCTTCACAACAATTCCGCTGAAGAATATTTGGTGATGGGTGTTGATATCGTCATTTTTCCCTTTTTTCTGGGTTTGGTTTAAGATTTTGGTGGTGGATGTTTTTGTTTAGTGATGGAGGAGGGAGAGTGGGTTCTGGTGCGGCGAGCCATAGAGAGAAACTTGTGGAACCCGAGTATTGGAGATGGATGGGAGAGTTCTAAGCCGTTGAAGGTCATGTTTAGTGGGCTAGCCAATTGTTGGACCGATGCGATTCCGATTGCTAATGGAGGACTTGGAGCCATGGTGTGGGGTGGTGTTGCTTCAGAGACTCTTCAACTTAATGGTAAAGTTCATGTAAATCTTGTAAATCACCAGTTCTTGTAAATCTTGGGCAGCTATAAATGCGAGAAAAAACGAGAGTTTCTAAAGCATCTTAGACCGAAGTTTCACATCAGTTTGATGAACGAACACTAGCTTTGTTGTAGTTGTGGATGATTTCCAAACCATGTTTAGGTACTTTGTTTAGCAAATTGAGCTATTTCTTAATCTTCATTTATCAGTTATAGCTGTTTATGCAACCAATGCTTGTCATTCTAATTTTTTTTTTTTTTTTTTTTTAATTTCATATTTCTTTTTGTTACCTTGTGAAAATTGCAGACTTCTCAAACGCTGCAGCCACAACAAAATGCAGTCCAATGGAGGAATGAAGCCAAAATAATACACGTATGCTAGCAACATGGTATCCAAATAAGTCATGAGATGTTTGGTATTTCTTATTTTGCCTCATCTTGTCAAGAGGCTGCTTGTTTATATTGTATGCATATCATTGAGGATGGCCTTCCAGCATTATGAGCAGCGAAATGACCAGAATCAGGGGAAACAGCTGCATGTTCTCATACAAAACAGAGTTTCGGTAGAGTTACGGATGCCTTATGTACAGAAGTTGTTTGGTGAGTTTTTAAATGTACTTGCAACACGGAATTCAGGTCTTGAGATGTTTAGTATTTCTTCAATTGCACCATCTATCAAGTGGTTGATTGTTTGTATAATTATGCATATTATTGAAGATGATCTTCCATATGATGCATAGAGCAATGACAAGAATCAGGAAAAAGGGGCCTTTTCTTACATGAAGAGGAGTTTGGGCAGAATCACTGATGATTTATACGGAGTAGTGAGTTTTTCAGATGAGTTTGACATCTTTTGCTCCTACGATGCGTCAAAATGAGCTTGCAGCTTTAGATGATTTGGCCATTATTTTGCACCCAAAGGTATCAAATTTTTCTAGCTAAAGCTTGATTATGTTATTATGTGTTGGTTCTTTAAGTTTTAGCTAAGGATTTTTCATTCCTGAATGTTGCAGGCTCTACAATAAATTCAGATCCTAGTCCAAAGTTGTTGACATCATCAGTTCTGATATTGCTTTTGCTGCGATTTAATTGTTGAATATAACTGTATCTTCTAAGTTTCATTAATTTGATATTTCCTTTCGATACTCTGAACAAACTGCAGACTTCTTAATTACTGTGGGATAGTTAAAATCCAGTTCATTGGAGGGATGATGCCGAAGTAGAATAGGGAGAACATGATATTCTTGTTTGCCTAATTCATCATAAATCAGTTGACTGAATAAAATTGCCTCTGAGAAAATCATTCTCGCCTTTTAGGTCGTTTATGTGAATCGCAGTCATAAGAGTCAGGAATTAAATGTTCAGGACTATGACAAGAAAAGAGAATGTATGAAGGTGGGAGAAGTGATGAAGCAAAATACTTGCTCTTAAGCGATGGACAGTTGCCTTCTTCAGAAATTACATGGTATTTTAGTTTCTGTTTGTCTAATTAATCTTATGTCATTAAGTAAATATATTTATAATCTCATTTTGAGATGCTCATATTTGTTATTTATGTTGTTTATGTGAATAGAACATGATACAGTCTGGTAGACATTGGACTCAAGGAGCAAGGATGAAATAGGAGAACCAAGAATTTAGGGGAAGTGATTAGAAGAAGAAGGTTTGTAATGTTTCAATAACAAATTATGTTTCCTTCTCTTATTTTCCACTTAAAGCAATCTCATGATAGAAGTTCTGTTTTCTTTTGGGCTGTTTAGTTAGATATCAAATTCTTTTTTGAAGAAATGATGTTCATACAAACTATGAAATAAGGTAATTCCCCTGTTTTAATTATTCTTGTTTCATTGAATTAACATCAAATTGTTTTAAATCTTGTGTTAAAAACCACTTTAATGCAAAAACTCTCATAGTGCTATCATTTCTTTTAATTTTCTGTTTTGTTATCTCATGCACACAAGGTATCTTCTGAGTTCTGAAAGTGATTCTTAGGGTCAGGCATCAAGGTTTCTTGAGCAGTAGTGATGCATGATACAAGCTCAGTAGTCAGGAGAATGTGTTCTTTCTTCCTTTTCTTTTTTCCACAATCAGTAGCGTCTGGCATTCGATGTAGTAGGAGCTTTAATGCAAGACATTTGTGTTGTAAACTTTGACATGCAATAGTTATCAATATAAATATAACTAGTGCAAAGAAATCTCTTAAGTTTCTGAAGCAGTTCAAGCACAAGCAGATCAAAACTCAAGTTTGTAGATAAGAGAGTGTTTTAAAGTATGAGAGGGTGTATTTGGGTTTGGGGCTAAGAGTTGTTTCAAAATTTTTGTACTCCATTTTGTTAGTAAAATTCCTTTTTTGCCTTCGTCCGTGGATGTAGGCTTAAAGCCGAACCACGTAAATTATTGTGTTATGTGTGATTACTATTTCCCTTCTATTTTAAGACTGAGCTTATATTATAACAAACATAATTCAATATGTAGTAAACACAATAATAAGGAATGTGTAAATATATGAACTAAAAGTATGTTCAGAAATATTTGAAAGGAAAATGATAGAGTTACCGAAAGTTACACACCGAATGACATGGCAAAATCTTGACCGTTAATTAATATTAACTTATAATGAATCAACGGTCAGAATTTTGTCACGTTATTCGGTGCACAAATTCAGTGCACACCCATCAGTATCTGTAGCATTACTCTATTTGAAAAGGGAAATTATGTAATATCCAAAAATAAACGTATGTTAAAGTGGGGCAACAACTGAATAATTAAGCTGAGAAAGTTATGTGTTTGGAATTGTATAATCTGTAAGCATCAGCCTCCTATAGGTAAGTTATTATCCCTTGAAATTCTTTCGATAGGTACAATAAAGTGTGTGAAAAGAGTGGGTAATGAGTTTTTGTTAATTGTTATCCCCAAATTGAAATCTCTCATGTTTGGGGAAATGGAAGAATGGGAAAAGTGGAATTTCGAGATGACAAATAGGGGAGGAGAAGATATCACAGTAATGCCATCCCTTCATTCCTTGCGCATTAAAAACTGACCCAATTACTCTTTTGATTTACTAAATTACTGAATGATGTTGAGACAAAAACATTGGAAGATCAATTTTGTTAGAGTTGAGACATTCTGCTGATTACACCTTAAAAAGCTCAGGATTGAGTAATATAATGCTTCGACCAGTACTGTAATATGAGAACATAGAATCAGAAATTATATTTCGTGGGATCTGCTATAGCTTATTTGTCTTCAGAGGATAACATAGATAACATTGTAAGAATTTTTTTTGATTATTTTGTAGTATTGTTCTAAAACCGATAAACCGAAAAAAAAAAAAAAAAAATCTAGAACTAAGAAGTCCTTGTACTTCATGAAAACAAAACTTAAATCCTTTTAGACGATATTTGCATTTAAAATATAATATTACACCTTTTAAATAATATCCTTTTGTGTTGATAAAGAATCAATAATATATATGATATAGTTTTTACTTGCTTCTCTATTATATGAATGATTTATTAATTATCAAGCAATGCTAAAACTTCTTGAAGAAAATTTTATGAAATTCCAAAATTTTCGAGAAAACACTAGCTCGAACAACTTGCTTCAATGGGGGAAATGACCTGATATGATGAAATAACGCTTCTGGCAACATAGATATCCTGTCCACTTTCTCTCTACTCTCTTCCATAATATCATCTAAACAATTCTTCTGCAGCATTAGCGGGTCACACTCCATTCAACTCTCTTGTTTATCTGCACTTCTTTACAACAAGATTTCAGTAAATAAAAAAACGGTGGACATCCCATTTGAGAATTTTCATAACACTGAATTAAAGATCTAATGCTTATTGTCTTCTTCTTTGATAGGATGAGATCCACACTTGGACTGATTCTTATCCCAACACAGCGAGTGTTGTACTACTGAGACTTGTGCTGTGTGTCATCCATGACCCGCGGGCTGGGCCGTTTGTGTTACTGTTATGGCCCGAACAAAGAAATTACCCTAAGAGAGAGTTCGTACGTACCTTGCATTAGAAGTAACTGAAGTGTATTTAATGTGTTTGCGCTTTCAACAAAGAAAAGGCATCTCTTGGAATCCCTTCATCTTTCAGCTGCTGCCTTCGGAGCTCAAGAAAACGTATCATTCTACTATTGAACCTGTGTACTGTTCATTCGTTTTGTGACATGAAAGAGAGAATAACCAGAGCAAGTGACCTACTGGTGAATTTTTGAAACATTTTCTTTTTATCTGTTCTTTATTTTTATCTGCAATAACTAAACATTATCAACTTCTTGTTGCCTCTTTCCAGAGAATATAAATTTTGAACAAAAATTAAGGTATCGCACTATGAATTTTGCTGAAAAGGGAGCATAGATAATCCTCAATGGCACATCCACTATTACTAGTATTTTTCTTGAAATTTTTAGAACTAAGATTGAGTAACCAAATGAAAATGCATAGCACAACAACATAACCATGGTCAATCCAGCAATGCCTAAATTACAACAGACAACAATAATTGGGAGTCAAATATAATTTATCTTCATGAAAATTCTTTTGGAGAAATTGGTCTTCTCATTATGGGTCACATCACTCATAGTGGGTCGAGTTTCTCCAAATGCTCATGCCCAACTGATTAAGTAGGTTGCAAGAGCCCCATACACGGTTGGTTGGCTGCAGATAGAAAGGTTAACAGAAAGAGACAGTGCTTCAATAAACCACATCACAGAGTATGGCCCATGAGAAGTAATAGAGAGGACAAAGCCCTTTGATAATTGAACTCAGTTTGTTGAAAATCTTCACATCAATTCAATCATAGGGGAACAATTCAAATTGCCAACTTCTTAACTTACTACCTAATTATCATTCATGGATGCCAAATCAATAATTTCACTAAACCTATGATAGATAGGTTAATTCACTATCTAAAATAGGGTAAATATCTCAAAAATCCTCAAATTTTACTACCTAATTATCATTAACAATCTTGGGTCAGTAAAATATATTTTCTCTATACTTTTCTTACAACATCTGACATTCATAATAAAATATTAGGATCCGGATATAAGTTTTGGGTATTTTCAACTTAGCAGATGCACTTTAGTTGAAAAACATTTGTGTAAAGTCCAAAAAAAAATCCAAATGCTTTGAATGCAAATATAGTTACTATGATTGAAGAGGAAGAAACAAAAAGAGGAGCATTAAGAGAAATTAAGTGGGGGTCGAAATAGTTTATCTTAATGAAAATTCTTTTGGTGAAATTGGTCTTCCCATAGTGGGCCAAGTTTCTCCAAATGTCAAAGTGATTACGCAGGAGCCCCACATAAGGTTGGTTGTAGATAGAAATGTTAGTGGTCCAACAAACCACATCATAGAGCACAGCCCATGGGAAGTAATGGAGAGGACAAAGCCCTTTGATGATTCAACTCATTTAGTTGAAAATCTTCACATCAATTCAACCCA